TTGATGTTCTTGAATGATTTGAGAGGAATGGATGTCGCCTCTTTTATACTCATATCAAGGAGTTCTTCATTTGGCTTGATTTGTAGACAGTTTATACTCGTATCAAGGAGTCTTTAATTTGGCCTGATATGTAGATAGTTTAGGCTCGTATCAAGGAGCATATGAATTTGAGGATTTGATGGAGCTTTCCATGTAAATTGCCCCCGTAGAATTTGAGAAGAATATGGAAGACCACTTTTTGTTCCATTCGGATGAAGACTTCATGGCTTGATGAGACATCATCCTTAGTTGCCCCCTTGTACAATTTCTTCAAAGAGGTCTCCATGCATCTTCAAAGATCTTCGAACTTGATATGAAGAGAAGAGATGAAAGGTAGAGAATGTCTCACCGGGCGTGTCAAATTTGTGACAACAAATTTTATGGAAAACATAAAATTTCTGTACAACTTGATTTATTTTGATCAAAAGATATGCGGGTACAATCTCTATTTATCTCCTCTGATTCTTCTCTTCATGAATTTGGGATTGAGACCTTGAAAGATGGATTATTGAATCTCCTTCGGGCTTAGTCTTGAATTTCTCTAACATTAATTTAGGGGTCGAATGACTTATTCCCGTATTAAATGTTAGGCCTTGACTTGATTGAAGAAGTCTTTTTGGAGGACTTGATTCTTTGATCTTCTTGAAAGATGGACTTTGACTTGAATAACGTTGACTCGAGGGCTTGATAGCTTTTTCCCGGATCAAACGCTATGTTGGTTGAACCTCTCAACGAACGCGACTTGAATGTTGCTTGAACGTCGTTGATGTTCTTGAATGATTTGAGAGGAATGGATGTCGCCTCTTTATTGGAGGACCACCATCTCTTTTTCTTCTTCTTGGCCTTCTTCTTCATTGAATTAACTTCGAGCGGCTCTTCAAGAACTTCTTCAAATCTTCAAGAGGGTTCTTGAGAGCCCTTGAATTTGATATTTTAATATTTGAGATGTGTTTGATATTTTTTAGGTGTTTGAGGTGTTTGAGGTGTGATTTGTGGGATTGAGAAGAGCCCTATTTATAGGTGTAGGAGAGAGAGTCTTGGAGAAGAAAACTTCAATTTGATTGGTCCTTCATGATTTGACATAATCTCTTTCTTTCTCCTAAGATTTGATATAATCTCTTTCCTTATCCTAAGATTTAACTTGGTGGGCAAGAAATAATTACTTTATTAATTAATATCTTATTTATCTTGGATTTATGTCCAAAAATAAATAAAGACATTAATTAATAAAATATTAAAATTTCGATGTCTACAGTGACAAAATTATCTTCCTCAAAGAGTACAACCGCTGACTTCGTACTTCTGTAAAAGGACTCTTAACAAGTTACAACGACAAAATGAACATATGAATATATTCTTGTCTAAATTTCTCTGATGGGATTTCGCAAATGATTCATCATACCACCAAAACATCCATTGACAAGAAGATGACTCATAACATATAAAAAGAAAAATAACGATTCCACATTGTTACCGTATGCAATAGAAGCCCGCCAACCGAGAGCCTCATCCCACCTGCCACTGCAATTACATAATGAAACACAAACATCAAATTGACATATCAAATCTGAGTACTAGTATGTTTTTTGTTATTATATATTGTAAAGTGTGAGACTAGGATAATTCCAACGCCTGTATCAAACTCCCCAATTGCAACAGTTGTGTGAATATAGAAGGTAAAGAATATACGACATTTTCCAAATTTGGAGCATTGACTCAGAATTGAGAGAAAGAGAGAGAGTGAGAGCAACAATATAAGAAAAAATATCACAAAAGGTAAGTCCATATTCCCGAAACAACGCAACATCACCTCCAAACGGTAAAAGAGAAAGATATTCGTGTGAGTACAGTTATACCTTAAGAACTGGTTCGCCCTTATTGGTGTTTGCATTATGTTTTGCAGCAGCCGCAAGCTGGGCTTTTGCAGCTCTTCCTGCTGCCGATTGTTCAAATTGCTCTTGCCTGCAACCGCAAAGAGCAAATTACAGAAGTTTTGAATATGATACCCTAACACAAGAAAATGCGCAAGAGCTGCCCCGAAATATGGTCCCTTCTGCAATTAGTCATACAATCATGGCGATTTAGCAGGTAAACTACTAACAAAGCTATAAGCCTTTTCAGGGAGCCTTACTCCAGAGGCCCAAAATATAAAAAAAGGTGAACTTTATAGTTCAAGATAACATGTGTTCAAGGACTGTTGTTTTACACAGCAAGCTCCCTTCGTCTGGGAATTTTTATGTATGGATCTGGAAATTATAATATATTTTTTATAATACCCTGAGGCTTAGCATAACTTCAAAAAACTGAATTACTATCTTCTAAAATCACACAAATCCCCGACATTTATCAACGTCTTACAACAGTGCATTCCCGAAAGGGAGATGATTTTGTAGGTAAACACAACCTCAAAGGGGGTATTTCTAATTTCTTAAAACATATGTGTTTTCTTTTGGGATTAGACTTAATCTCAGGAGAAGTTTGTAAATCATCCCATTTAAGAGCATACATCCAAGGTGTCTGTTGTTTCTATACCACAAGTAGCTTATTTTCTTGTCAGATTTTCATTGCATAAGGACATAAATATTAAGGTATATGAAATGAGACAATTTTAATGCAATATCTAATGAATTTCAACAAATTTATCTGTTAACATAAACAGTGGAAATTGCCATGCAAGAAGCCACTCGCTTGAATCCATAGAATTTTTATAGCTCAACCTCTACGTTCTTTTACACATCTCTATTGTCTCTCAGGAATCAAACTATATAAATCTTAATAAATAAATATGAATAAACTGTGAACTCTATTCCTTTCATAATGCAAAATAACCACCATTCGATTCCGATAATACAAACCACCACCATTCAAATATTCAATACCGTTCCATCCGAAATCTCACCAATTTCAACAATCAAAGTAGTACGAGAGTCCCACAAAACAGCATAAAAGATTCATGAGGTGCTCAACGATACAATAAGCCAGTTAACTAGAAGAATGATTAGAACATATCTCAAATCAATATCCTTCTTTTTCTTTCATTTTCCAATTTTACGCCATTAAAAGTAACTCAAATCAGTTCATTTCAACTAAGATGCACATGAAACTTGCAGCAGTGTTTGGTCTGACATAAGAAAATATCCCCAAGAACAACACATAAAACATATAATGAGAAGATAAAAATCGATAATAAGAACAATCATAATCACAAACAAAAACCCATTTAATCTATACACCAGACTCGAAAACAAATTCTATTTAGCTCCAAAATCATTCCTTTCCTGTTTCCTAGGAATCTGTAATCATCGATCTATCAACCAACGATTCCCATCCCTCTTTCTCCGATATCGAATACCACCGGAAAATGTTTCCGTATCAGAAAAATTAATCGATAATGAGGATTGAGGAACAAAAAAAAAAAATTAATGCGCATCATATAATTTATAAACGAAAATAAAAAGGAAGCGAAAAGAAATCGAAACCTTTTCTGGGCAGCTTCAGCGGCTTTCGATCGAGCTTGTTCGGAGGCGAGACGTTCTTCTTCTCGTCTCCGTTGCTTACTTCCACCATCGAAGCAAGCGAAGCAACCCACCATCTTTGAGTTCTCTCTCTCTCTCTTTCTCCTATCTATTTTTCCCTTTCCTCAAAATTATTCGTTAATTTTTAGTTTGGCCTTCTTGTGCCCGACTTTACATGATGATCTGACAAATTACAAATTTCGATGAAATGGTTCCATATAACGAGACCTTAATATTTCTTCCAATTCTACGGTTTCCATTGTTTAATTTGGTTGCCACCTAGCACAATGTAACATGAAAAAATCTCTAAAAACGTTTTGAACGGCGTTTATTATATATTCTATTATTTATATTCAAGAAATTTAAAATAAAAAACATGACGATAAAAATCGTCATGTGAACATTTTTTTTCGTCACAAAAGTAAATTAATGACGAAATTTTGTCGTCACAGAGATCGTCACCGTAACAATGTCATACAAAGTATAGTTGACAAAATTCGAACTTGTCACCAAATGTTCCACTTTTAATAACATTTATAAGTATCGTCATGTTATTTTATCATCTTTCATAGCGATAATTTCGTTACGTTCATTATGAGAATTTTGCCATGTAAACTATTATTTTATCATAAAAAGACAAGTTTTAAGACAAAAACTTAACCTCGTCGTTCTAAATATTATTTGTCGTCTAAATATTATTTCTCTAGTGACGATTTTATTTATCAGATTTTTAAAATTTCAGTGACAAATATCTTTGTGGTGTTTTTGTTATAAAAATTATCATATTTCATATAATTCGTCATGAAAGAGTTATTTTATAATTAAAATAGAATTAATGAAGAAATATTCATTGTCTTCAAACACATATAAAAACGGCAAATTCTTTTGTCAGGAAATTATTAGCTCTACTGTTACGAAGAAAACGATTGTCATAAAAAACTTGAGATATAATGACAATTGGTCTATGATTATAAGAATTATAATGGGCTAAATTTAATGATTTCTAAAAATTTACACCCTTGTACAAATAAAATTATTTTGGTACTAGACTTCAATAATAATATAAAGTGACATTTCTTGGTCAAAAGCTTGAGATATAAACAATTGGTCTATGATTATAAGAATTATAATGGGCTAAAAAAATATGTTTTCACCACACGAGTACTTGTCAAACTTATATTTTTTACAATTAAATGGTAAAAATAAAAGTAATATATATGGTGAAAACATATTTTTTTACAACAGTATTCATGTGCACTTGAACCAATTATGCCCTCTTGTAAGGCTAACTTCAAATTTGAGAGAGAGAGAGAGAGAGAGAGAGAGAGAGAGAGAGAGAGAGAGAGAGAGAGAGAGAGAGAGAGAGAGAGTATATATATGTACCATAATGTACAACAGAATACATATTATGCTCTTCTCTTGTATATTCATTGTCAAAATTGGGTTTTATTTATTTATTTTTTTTATCTCCACAAGCCCATTTATGACACTCTTGGGAGAAGATGGCCCCCGATTTTGCGCAACAGAATACTCCTTTTTCCTCTTCGGTTTCCTGTCGCCCGACGATGGGCCGACACCACCAACGCTCGGCACCACATACCACCCGATCGACGTGCACATAATCGCAAACGACCGTCCGTAAATCGACAAAAACACCAAAACCAACACGAAAATCACCGGTAAGTAGAAACAAGGCCGCATCAAGCTATCCATCTTGATGAAACTCCCTTTGCACCTAAAGCATCTCCTCTTCTTTCGCGGCTTTTGATCATTATTATTTACTTCCTCTTTCGGAGTACTAATAGGTGTTGTTGCCTTGATGCTGGCTTGACTTATAATACCCGACGCGCTTTTCTCGAACGATTTATTCCGGTCGGGTTTTTTCTCCTTGTTGACCTTGACCACGATGGGCTTGGCCCGGTTCGAGTCGCCCGTGTAGACGAAGCGGACGAAGGAAATGTCCTCGGCGCCCTTTTGCGTGTAGATCTTTTGCTTCTTGTTGTCTAAGTCGGATAGGAGGGCGTAGAATTTGTCGAGGCCACGATCAGCAAACCGATTCTTGTTGCTATTGTCCTTGCCGATGATCTTGCAAAAGCTCGTGCTCCTTTTGGACCGCTTGGGGGTGGGGCACGCGCTGCCGTAGGCCTCGTGCTCCTCGTCATCGTGATCTTGGCGACTGAAGCTTCCACTACCGCAAATGAACATTTGAAGCTTTGTTTGTTTGATGTTTTTGGAGGGTTATGAGAGATGAGAATGTCTTTGTTTGTAACTTTGTATGAGTTGTTTTCTTGAGAGTAAGTTTGAATCAAAAGAAAAGTGGAAGTGAGACAAAAGTATAAAGTCTACTTATAGAAAGAGAGGGAAAGGACTTACTTAATCAAGAGGTAGTGGCGGTCAAAACAAATGATCAGGTCAAAAATTTCTATGGAAGCTTCTTTTATTTTATTGGACAGTGTTATAAAAACGGAAAAGATAAAGAACACAAAATAGAAACCGGATAAAAATTATACAGAATTTTCTTTCTTTCTTCTTTCTTCTCAATATGTGCAATCTTTCAATACGTATGCATTGTCTTTTATAGGCAAATTCTACCGACACTAATACACACAAATAATTTATACTCATACCACATATACTATTCACATTCCTACAAATGTCACGTGCTTCATCCACTTGCTTATATTATAACAGGTAGCTTTTATTTATTATTTTGGTATTTGGATTTATGGAAGCTTCTTCTATTTAATTGGGCAACTTTTGTTTATTTTTGATAGCCAGCCACAGTATTTGGAGCTATGTCCCGACTAATCTGTTGGTTGATCCAAATCGCACACGTGACAGTGGTGGGTGTGGCTAACTTTTGTTTATTTAATTTGGCATTTGGGATTTATGGAGTTTTTTTTTTAAATTTTGACTTTGTTGAGGAGCTGGATTTGAGTGGATGAACACTACCTCCATATGTTTGAAAACTGAGCCATTTTTTTAATTATTTTCTTTCTTATTTGAATGGATTTGTTTAATTTGAATTAATTGTCCCGACCCTATAAGACCGTGAGATATTAAATTATAAATTCTAGTAGAAGATCCCAAATATTGTTGTTTATTTAATACGGTAACGATCATCATATCAGAGTATACAGTTCAACCGGTTTTACCGTTTATTTTACTGGTTTTAATAAATATTAAATTAATTTGTTATTAATATAAATAATGTATAAAACTAACTTTAATTAATACTAAAATTAATTAACATCTAATAGCAATGTAAAAATATTAAAATGAACTGTAAAACTTTTATTTTTTATAAATAAATCAATGAAAATATATTAAAAAAATATTTAAAAAAAATCGGCATGAACAAGTATTTTGACTGGTATTTGCCGGTAAATCCGATATTTTCCGGTATGGAACCAGTATAAACTGGTGTTTTGGCCTAGAGTGTAACCGTAACGGTCGGACCACCGGTATCCGGCATTACTAATAATACTGGCCGGTACGATACAATATTTAAAACATCTATATATATATAATTGTGGGCTAATCCGCATTTAATAAAAATTTAATAAAAACATTTTCACTTTCCCGCCTAAAAACGTTACATGTTAGTTTATTGATTTTTTTTTTCTATAAATACAGAAGCTTTGATTATGTTGTGTATTGAATGTTACAATTACTAAAAAGCATTATATTAGTCAGTACTAAAAATTGTAAGTTACGTTTTTATTTTATTAAATTAAATTAAATTAAATATGTCATTTACTAATAAACATTTATTTAGTTAATAAAATTATAATCAGTCATTTTCTTAAAATTTTAGGTTTTGCTCTAAAAATGAATATTTCAGAGAAAATTGAAAAATACAAAACATATACAAAAATTAAAAAAACATTACAAATTATTACAAATTACAAATAAACATTTAATTAACCGCCCTTCAGCCTTGAATTGAACCTGCAAAAAATAATTATAATATACAAATCAGTAAACAATTTCATCATCTCATTATTTAATAAGAATATAAAATTAATACTAATGTAATGTTATGTTATAAATATAAATATTAAACTGTTCAATTTCAACAAGGAGGGAAGAATACATTTAAATCAAAATCCAACATTTCAACAAGGCGGGAAAAAATCAAATTTGTTTTATAAATTAAAAAAATAGAGAAATATTATTATTCCATGATTTTAGCACATTATTTATACATAATAATATTATTATTAAATGTCAATTACAGTTTCCGAAAATGAATGAAAAAGAGGTCGATTTATGCACATAATATTATATATTAAATTAAATATATTAGATGGATTTGATTATCCCTTGATTTATGCACATAATATTATATATTGAATTAAATATATTAAATGCACCGATTTTGACCATACTGAAACCATATAAATATGAGCAACATTCATTCACAATTTATCATTGCAATTTTCAGCAAACACCAAAAAAAAAAAAAAAAAATCTCCTCATTTTCTCTATTCAGCAATGACATCCATTTTTAACAATTTGACATTCTTGGCCAAAAACAAGAATAAGACTGCAAGGCTCCGATTAGTCAGACACTACACTCGATATTATCAATCTAATGCAGCAAAAGTCAACGGGCATGATTTCATTTTTCATGATGTGAAGGTATATATTTTTTATTTCTCTATTATTCTATTAATTTGTTCAAATTAATTT